AAGTGAGAGGTGTATTTTCATCGGCTACCCATAGAAATCCTTTGGTTACCTCTTCTACAGACCTAGTGAGAATGTGGTCTTTGTAGCAAGGAGGGGTTTCTTTCGAGAGAGAGAGAGAGAGAGTTCATAAGCCAAGGAAAACAAGGAAACAGTGGAGGCAAATTGACCTTGAAGAAATTCAAGAGTCAAGTGGTGAAGGAACCTCAAACCCTAGCAGTCAACTTGAGGAGGAAACTCCTGTTGATCCAATTGACGAGTCTGTACCTCTGAGGCGTTCCACAAGGTTTAGGAATGCACTGAGCATTTACTATGGTTTCCATATTACTGCGGAGGTGGTGATACACTTATCAGTGATGAGACACTGGTAAGTCTGGATGAACCTAACAGCTATGCGGAAGCCATGGCAGGCCCTGAGTCTGCTAAATGGAAAGAAGAGCAATGGACACGCGAGATATAGTCCATGTATGACACTGAAGTTTGGAACTTGGTTGACAATGTACCAGGTCGCAAGACAGTTGGGTGCAAATGGATCTCCAAGAAGAAGACCGACATGGTGGTAATGTACCACACTTATAAGGCGCGACTGGTTGGCAAAGGGCTTTTCTCAAACTCGAAGTTGATTATGATGAGACCTTTTCACAGTAGCCAAGATTAAGTCTATTAGGGGTATTGTTAGCCATTTCTGCATTTCATGACTATGAAATATGGCAAATGGATGTCAAAACTGCTTTCCTTAATGGAAAGTTGGCTGAGGATTTTACATGTGTCAGCCAGAGGGTTTTTTGTTAGTACCAAAGTACCCTAATAGAGTGTGTAAGCTTGAGAAATCCATCTGTGGATTGAAACAAGCACATCGCAGATGGAATCTTGTTTCGATGAGAAGTCAAAGAGTTTGGCTTTCGAGGAGTGAAGATGAATCTTGTGTATATGTCAAGGCTAGTGGGAGTATAGTTAGCTTTTTGGTACTATGTGGATAACATACTACTCATAGGAAATGACATCCCAACCCTGCAGGAAGTGAAGTCCTGGCTTGGGAAGTGTTTCGCTATGAAAGACCTAGAGAAGCTGCCATATTTTAGGGATAAGGATTCTGAGACCGGAGTAAAAGACTAATTGGACTTAGTCAGAGTTACCTACTTGGATAAGGTGCTGAAGAGGTTCGCATGGCAGGATCCAAAAGGGAGAGTTACCTATCCGTAACGCCAGATGAGTAAGACTCAGAGCCCGAGTACCGAGGCTGAGATAGCAGAAATGAGTCGAGTACCTTATGCTTCCGCTGTAGGATCGATCATGTATGCTATGACTTGTACTCGTCCTGATGTGGCATTTGCCTTGAGCATGGTCAGCAGATATCAGGGGAACCCTGACAAGGCTCACTGGACTGCGGTAAAGAACATTCTCAAGTACTTGCGGAGGACTGAGGAATGGGTCCTTACCCTTGGTGGGAGTGATGACTTGATAGTTGTAGGGTATAGTGATGCTAGCTTCCAGACTGATAGGGATAATTTCTGATCTCAATCGGGCTGGGTCTTTACCTTAAACGGAGGAGCAATTACTTGGAACCGTTCCAAGTAGGAGACAGGGCTGATTCAACTTGGAATCAGAGTATATAGCGGCAAGCAGGTGCAAAGGAGGCAATATGGCTGAAGAACTTCATTGGAGACCTTGGAATAGTACCAGCTATAAAGGAGCCTATGGAAATTTTCTGTGATAGTGAAAGTGCAGTTGCCTTAGCCAAGGAACCAAGGGATCACGGGAGATCCAGACACATTGACGGAAATACCATTTCATCAGACATCGAATAGAAGAAGGACTCCTCGTTGCAAAGAGGGTATCATCAGATGAGAACCCAACAGATCCCCTCACGAAGGGACTGAGTAGGGCTAAGCATCTCCAGCACGCACGGAGCATAGGGCTGAAGGATGATATTAGTTTTAGTAGGTAGATAGCCTTGAAATTTGTAAAGTGTAATTGACATTTGATGATGGATAAAAGTTGTGTTTATTTATGAGTAAAGTGTTGCTATCTTTTGTCAATCGTTTACTAGTATCTCTTTTGCATGTTTTGACTTCCAGAATATTTATGTTGTTTTTTACATATTATTCAAATTATCCACAGTCGGTCATATGTTGGAAGTAGATATGATAAGACTGTATGAGTTGGTTGTAGAGGTCTAAGATGTTGGACATGGCCTCAACCCTCATGAGTGCTCATAGTTCTGAGTATTGGATTCAACCCACGCTCGCTGGTATCACTTCATGGAATTTATCTCAAGTGATCGCGAGATGGTAATATCATATAAGTCTTCAAACCTAGAGATATGACTTGTTGCATATGAGTTAGTTATGCATTGATCGTACGAAAACGCATTGGTAACTCGATGTTATAAAACGTGCGTTTGTGTGTGATTCAACAAGTAGTAGAACAAGCATATGAGTCGAAGTTTATCTGTTCCTTCTTGGATTAGAAGCGATATCTGGGCCCCCTCGATGATTTTGTTTTGACCTATGTACCGGCCCCGGTCAGAACTAAGTTGATGTGTTCAATTAAGTTCTATGTCAAACAAATCGGAAATCGAGAGAGAAAAGAAAGAAACCAAACTGATGGACAATAAGTAAGACATTGTTCCATGTATTTGTCCGGCTGATATCTAGAACAGAGAATTATATGATCACTTATCTTAAATGGTGTATCATTATCTTCTCAGTTCCGAGAGACCTTGAAAAGAGCTACGATTGCTGATCGGTTCCTGAAGTCATACTTGCATTTATAGTTATTAGACTTATCCAAGTGGGAGACTGTTGGATAAGGTGTCTAAGTCCATAACTATTTCTGGTACGTACTTGACCCGACCCGGCATGATCCATTTGGGTTGCATGACATCATGCATTTGGATAGACTAAATGAGAGAAATAACACTTGTGGTTTATTAATATTATAAGTTCTAATATATTAATAAATATTAGTTAGTATTGATCAAGAAATAATCTAGAATTAATTAAGTGATCAAAAAGAGACTAATTAAATATATGGGTTGATTATGTAAATCATCCATAACTTGTATAGTGGGCTAGATGCTCCATGAATTATCAAGTTGGGCTAAGGTCCATAGGATGCTCCATGGATGCTCCATGTGAGTTACAAACCCATGGGTCATGGAAATGAAGAGCCATGTTACATTAGGGTTTACATGGTGTAACCCTAAGTGTAACACACTATATAAAGAACATGACATCCACCAAAATCGGCTACACTAGTGAGACAAGAGGGCAAGCCGAATTAGAAGTGTTCTACATTCTCTCAAAGTCATTCCAAAGCACTTGGTGTTGTGTGAAACATTTGAGGCATCACACTTGGGGTGCTAGGCTCTCAAGGTTTTTTCAAGGAATCAAATCAACTACAAGGTATGTAATTCTAGTCATCTTTTATGTTTAAAGTTCCCCATGTATGCTAGATAGGATTATGAACCTTGGAAAAAGTATTTTGCATGTATTTTAGACAAACATAGATCCAAGGTTTTCTAGGGCTGCATGTACACTTAGGAGTGTTAGAATGCTCAAAGCTCATCAAAAACTTTCCCTCAAGTTTTGGAACATGTAAGGTCTCACTCACTTTATTAAACTTTAGTTCCAACCCCTAGAATTTTAAAAGTTAAAATTCAACCTTATACTTTATACTATTATAAATTAATAATATATATATATATATATATATATATATATATATATATGTATAAGAACAAGTCGTTTTACGGTTAGTAGGCCTCATTCACGAAGCCGGTCTATAAGGGGGGTATAAGGTTGTTGCCTATAAAATGGCAGCTTAATGGGTGTCCACTCTTACCCACCGCTTCCTTGACTGGTGGAGGGTCGTTAGCCGAACGGGTAGTACAATGACTTTAATCCTCATTAAAAGCATGATGAATGTAAAGTAACTAAATGTTTTTTATAAAATTCTCAATCTTAGTTACTTTAGGAAAATGTGAATAAGGTGCTAACCCATGAAATTACAATTTGCACTTTGCTTAAGTCGTTAGTGGAGCGTGTGTGGTTAACCGGCACACTAACCTGGACTTAACAAGGTAGGCAAAGGGTGGCTTAAGGTTTATCATAGGTCGGTGGAGCGCGTGTGGTTAACCTGCACATCGATTGACTGATAAAACATTAAGAGTACCAAGTAATTTGCATGGTTACTTCACACCTTGTTTTGTGATCCTCGGCATCCCAGTCACAAAACTTGAAGGGCACACTCGAGATTGAAACATGCCATTGAAAAGTTCAATGAATCTCAAAGAATCTAGGAGTTTCAAAACTAATTAAAACCTAATAATTTTATTTCGTTTTATGGTGGAAATTGGTGAATCGTCATTCACCAACTTCAAATATTTTATAGCTTGGATTACGGCATCCCTCTTCTAAGTTATAAAATATTGTGTTGGGTCCTAGCCTTAATATTACATTTGGGTGTCTTATTAAGGACTATCTTTATATCTAATCTAAACTTCTCTTTCTTCTTTTTTAGATGTCTTCACTACTAGAAAAACAGCCTTTTACGACGCGCAATGCGTGTCGTAAAACGCTCAAACGACGCGCAAATGCGTGTCAAGGAAGGCCCTGTCGTAACGAGAGACGACACGCTTTTGCACGTCGTCTATAGACAACGCGCATTTAAGACGCGCATTTATGACACGCATTTACGACGCACGTTTACGACGCGCAATGCGTATCAAGGAACCCCTGTCATAAAAGAAGACGTCGCGCATTTGCGTGTCGCGACCTTACGACGCACGTTTACGACACACATTTTGCGTATCATTAAAGCCTCTGTCATAAATAAAGATGACACGCATTTGCGTGTCATAAACTTCGGCAACCATTTACGATATACATTTACGACGCGTCTTTACAATACTCATTTACGCGTAATACAAAAAAATGGAAACAAATATATACCAAAACAATCAATTTCATGCATAACATCATGTCAAAAAATTGTAATACATTGGTATAAAGAGGATCCGATTGTACATTGTTATTAAGAGGTTTTCCCTAACTATATGACCTAATAGTACATTGCTATGAAGGAGCACCTTCTTGTTTCAGATATCATGTCCACATCATAAGCTTTATTTCTCTTTTCTTTTTTAGCAATAGGCGCCATAACAGTTAATGTATCTCTATCTCCCCCTTCCTTTGTAGCTTGGTCAAAAGCATCATCTCCACCCTACAGAGTAATGAAACAAAAATAATGTAAGAGAGAAACATGTAGTCTAAATGATTCAAAACATGAGAATTTAACTATCCTTACAAAATATGAGAATTTAACTATCCTTTCAAAATACCAAGACTCTGTAAATAGTACATAGCAATGTTGTTATATAAGAACCTAGAAAAACCACAATGTTTTGAACAAATTTGTAACATATAAAAACCTGGTAATCATGCCCCCATTGGCATACAATCAATACATGAACCCAAGCTTCACAACCTTCATCCTAACCTGCAACATAATACATTTTGTTATATTATTACTTGCACTTATTTGTTTATTCTATCTACTCACCTATGATTAAAATATAAATTAGGTATGAAAATAGTAAGACATTAAAATGTAAATGAAAAAAATAATAATTTACATACTATAGTGGGTTAGAAGCGCTTCATGACTTGTCAAAGTATTCATAAGTTGAAATGGTAGCAGAATACATTTTAAGCCTAATCCAAATAAAAATTGCATTGGAAGACCTAAAAAACCATATCATGGTGTCATTACTTTACGATATAAGGAAAATACAAAACTTTCAAACCTCTTTAGAAAGAAAAATGCCCTTGGAGCCTTAACCAAACTTGTCTAAAACTGTTTAAAAACCTTTTACTTCTTTTGTTCTTTCCCTTTTTCTTTTTTATTCCAATTTCGCCCTTTCATGATCACAAAACTATGTAATAACTTGCAATCTTTAAGCTTGAACAAAGATTGACCAAATTGCCCTTTAATAGCATGATACCGGTTCAGATTTTCCCTTAATTAGTTTTTCTTTCCATTTATCTACTTAATTTTTAATTTAGAAAATGCCGTTTGCATACCTATTTTGCAATTACTTCTTTGTGAGCTTTATACGATAGAATTACATTCCACACCAATGCAATAAAGTTAGCTGCAAGGACCTGCCAAATCAATTTCAACATTAAAAAAAAATTGATTTTTATCATATAAAAAAATAAAAATAAACAACTCAAACCTGAAATTGCTGAGGGACAAAACGGAAGTTGAGAAATTGAAAAGGTATCCATAGCTGCCAATTTGCAATAACCGAAGATACCCACTCCTAAATCATAGATAATTATTCGATTTATTAAAACTGGATTTCATATATTATATAAAAACAAATGTCACGATAAATGTTATAAAATATACTAAAATATAAAAGCATACCTGCTGAAGCTTTGGCATAACCTGGGATGGCCTCCCCTCTAATGTCACCAATGTTGATAGAAAAACTCCAATAAAAGCCGGAGCAAATATAAACTGAAAATATTTATATATTAATAGACCTCTTGCTAACAATTTTGAAAAAAAAATTCATCCCAAAATGATTTTATAAAAATAAGTCACCTGATCGATTATGAGGCGCACAAAAGCACCTGAAGCTCCAGTCATTGTTACCAATTTACTCAAGTATAAGTACCTACACAAAAGTTTATACTTTTACTTCTTTTACACTACAAAACACAACAAATTAATGAAATTATATGCCCACATTACAAAATCAAGATTTTGATGTAATTACCAGAAGTGCAATGTGGGTCCAACCAAAACCAGCCCAAGAAGCGTGAAAAGAGATACCCGTTCAGATCCAAAGACGACACTTGATCGATTACAACCTGAATCATACAAGTTTTGGATTTATTTATATGGAACAAAATGTATGTTCATGTATGAATTATGATATTGTTATAAATAGTTTTCACCATGAGAGAAGAAAGATATACCTGGCATATCAAGTCTCCAACGAAAGTCAAAAGTGCAGATGTCACTGCTTTTGTCCATACAGGGTGTGCTTCAAGAAGAGTCAAATACCTAGTAGTATAAAAGTAATGAGATAATGGATGCATAATTAGCTTCATAATTGTGTTCCTCTAATGGGTATCTTGGTATTTTGAATTTTAGCATATGATGATGAATTGAAGAATTTTGGCTGAAAAAGGACGATTGCTTTAATGATTTATTCTTCAAGTTCTAGCATCTACATACCTTTACTAAAATTGACATGAACAGATTTAATGCAAAATCGAATGTGAAATTCAATTCAAATTAGGAACCTTTACCATGAAACAAACGACCATTTCTTGCCGCCGTCGCCGTCGCCGCCGCCACCATCACCACCACCTCCACCAGAACTTCCAGAGTCGGAACCACCGTATCCACCACTTCCACCACCGCTGGAGGTGGACTCAACCCGAAATCCATTATGACCCGATATCCGTGACCCTTTTCCAGAAAACCCCAATTCTGTAGAGAATTTTTTGCGAAGATTACACTGAAATGTAGATGGTGAAAAGCTTCTATTACAAGGGTTCCCAAGAGAATCTGGTTCCTTGACACTTGCCAGATTGACTCTATGGAAAGTGGGCTTGACGTGACTGCCAGATTGACGTTTGCAAAATAGGTATGCAAACGGCATTTTCTAAATTAAAAATTAAGTAGATAAATGGAAAGAAAAACTAATTAAGGGCAAATCTGAAATTTCAAAAAGTTGGGACTTAATATTTTCTTGGCATCTGACAAGTTTTTGGTACACAACTTTAGACCATCAAGAAGTCGTGAAACCCACTCAATTTTTTTTTCCTGAAATTATAAAATGAAGACAAACAATATGAACATGGAAAATACAAAAACAGAGATCGATGAGAGGACAAAGCGAAAAGCGGATATGTTTGTTGATCAAAGTTCACCACATGTTCCTTCTGGAAAAAAAGTAGAGAAACATCAATAGAAGTAAAAAAGTCGATGTTATGTAACTGTGGCAAAATTTGAAAAATACAAAGTTCACAACCGGATAGGACTTCGGCTGTGCCTTTTATTCTGGGTTTTGAGTCCCTCTTCGCCAAGGACCGCCTCACAAAGCAGCGTAACAAAATCAAAAAAGAAAATTTAACCTCTTCTGGCCAGCAGTGTCACAAATTTCAAATTTTACTGTCATAGAGCTACTGTTTGTGACAAGAATGAAGCTCCAACAGTCACCTGATCAGATAAATAATAAAGTGGTAAATTCAAGTGAATAACATGATAAAATCATATCAATTCAAATATTTAAATGTGTAAGGTCCTAGAAACAGGATCTTAACTAGTGATCAAACAATCTAACAATCAAACAAGAAGAGAATTGAGTAGAAGAAGAATGAATCAAAGCTTGCACACGTTTGTATTAAGAAAACGTCTGGTACAACTCTGACTGGCCGTAAACACTATGAATCAACAACCATTAACAGACACAAACTGGTCCTATATATAGGAAAGAAGACATGACAGTAAACTAGACAAGGTCGTAAACAGGTTTACGGCCGTAAACATACCAAAACACTTCTATTACAATACTAAATGACCTATACATCCAAAGCCTAGACCAAACCATAACATGGACCCTTCAATCTCCCCCTTGGTTTGGGGCTAGCTGTAACTCAGTCTCTATCAATGACAAGAACATCAGACCCACCCATTGCCCCTTGCCACATTCCCTTAGCAATAATCTCGACAACCATTGTTGTGTACTCTTTCGCAGCAGGCTCGAGAATATCTTCAGCAACCTTGATCTGATGTAGGGCCAGATGATGAATATCCCACTTCCCAAATTGAAGTAGGTCATGTTTATCGTACAAGCGAAAGCAACCATCTTCGAACTTGATGACAACAAACACAGTAGTTTCATCATAGACCCAGTACTGCATGTTTTTGAGAGATCCATCACTGAAGGTCTGCAGCATTGGAACTTGTCTGACTTGATTTGTTGGCGGCCACATGACAGTCTGAAAGGGCTTATTGGTCTTGGGATCCAACACTTTAGGGAAACTTTTGATGAAAGACTCAGCAGTCTTCATGCCAGTGAATACCTTCTTTACTTGATCCTCCAAGAATAGCTTGAAATGCGAAGCCTTTGGATCACCTGATGGATTGACGAAAGGAGCACTTGATAATTATGAGAGATCAACTCGTGTCCATGAATGGAAATCATGGAAGTCGTTGTAGAACTCCACATTTTTGCTTTTGCGCTTTACGATCCACATGTTCAGCCCGTCATGGAAACTCCACGAGACAATTCCCGATCTATCGCCGTACTTGTGACCAAATTTCTTCTGTTCAAGATCAGTGACGGTGATAGTGGGTTTATTTCCAGGAGCATTCTGATCAGAAGATTTCTTGAAGAGAAATTGCTTTTTCTTGTCAGAAGCTGCTAACTTGGCACGTTCAAGTGCAACAACATTTGGCGCCTAAGTTGGTTCCTTATCAAATCGATCGACAATTTTTGTTCTTCTTTGAGTGGGCTGGTCAATAGGGGGGTCTTCAACTTGTTGAGCAGAAGGTTGGCCAGCATTGAGATGTTGAACTGAAGAATTGAATTTGTCGCCAAATTCTTCTGCCAGCTTCTTCTTAAGGTCAAAGTAGCTTGCTGTCAAGGATCCCAGATGAGTTTGCAGATCCAAAATTTGTTGAGTTTTTAAAGTTTTATCCGCCTCAAGATCTGCAACCTGAATTTTGAGTTGGGTCTTTTCAGCTTCAAGATCAGCCACCCGGATATCAATCTCAATATTCTTCTGATTAAGCACACTGATTTCCTTTTGAAGTCCAGTTAAGGTTGGATCATCCTCTTTTGAGTGGCCTTCCTCAATAAATATTCCCTTAGCTCGGGAGGAAGGCACTGAGCTTTGTTCATGGGCCAAATGTAGAGCAAGCCTCTCAAAGGCAATGTCGTGATAAGGCCTAAGAGGAAAGGATCCTGAAGGAACAGATGAACCACCAGCTTCATAAAATGTGCTCGGTCCTTCATTGGATGGAATAGGTGAAGTAGCAACGGAAGTAGTAATTGGTGGAGTTGACAGGCATTGAGTGTAATGCCCGTAGATCCGGGCTAGTCAATTTAGAGATAATAGGGGTCGAAAATGACTTTTTGACAAAAGATTATTTAGAATAAATAATCTTAACCAAGTTGTAGAATACGTCTCAAGGGTTCCGTACATATAAAGAACGTTGAAATCCGAGTTATAATGAAGAAGTTATGGTCCGTCGAAGTTTTACGACAAAACCGGCACGACACCGGGAGACGTAAATAGTGAATTTATGATGGAAGACTTTTTAGCCTTAGAAATCTAAACAAAAGTTTTAGTATACGTTAAACCGAGAACATACAAAAAACGAACGTCCAAATCTGACTTCGTATGAGGAAGTTATGAATTTTCTAAGATTTGGCTTAACAGTGCACAGCCCGAAACTCGAATTTTAGATCGAGCGGTTTTTGGCCTACACGACCTAAATGAGAATTGAAGATCTCATTAATAGGAACTCAACGGTAAAAAGACAGACGAAAACAGAGTCCGTATCTAGAAGTTATGAATTTTACGCGGACATTTAACAGTATAATCTCCTCGTACTGTTAAATTTAAGATCGGTAGAGAATTAGCCGACGGAGTCAAAATGAAAGTTGTAGATCTTATTTTTACCTACGCGTGGATATAAAGAACGTCAAAAACGGAGGTCGTATGTGAAAGTTACGGATTTTAGAAGTCGGAAGTGTGTTGTACGAAAATGGGTGATGTGGCACAATCTTGGCCATTGCTTTCTCCCCAAGTCTTGCCACTAGATGGTGACATGTGGCACCAAGTTCAGCCATTTTTCACCCTATAAATAGAACCTCTCCCACCCTCATTTTCTTCACACCTTTCCCATTCTTTCTTCTTTTCTTTACTCTCTCTCTAGAACCTCTCTCTAGCCCCGAAACCCCCCGAAAAGCCTAGGGAACCTCCCTAGCACGAGGCGGAAGCCCCGGAGTGCTCGACGGCTCCGAGAAGAAGAGATTTTCGGCTCGGGAAACGCTGCTCCAAGCAAAGCCCGGTTTTCTATAAAACCCGCTGTAAGTGAGCTACACCTACGCTATTTTTAATATAGTTTTTATTTAATTATAGTAACGTTATTAGGAACTTATAATAAGTACTTGGGCTATTATTATGAGTTATATAAGTATTTTTTAACGCTTATATAATAGTAATAATAGCTAGACTATTAATTAGTCTCGGCGAATAATAGACTAAACTCTAGTGGTAATAATACTAGGTTTCGTCGAAGAAAATTATTTTTAAGAAGCGAAGCGCTGTCTGAGTTCGGAATGACCACCTTTTCAAGTGAGTGCATGGTCCCTTTCAGCTTACACATAGATATGAAGTATTTTATATAAATTACGTGCTGTGTGTGCATATTATCTGTATACTTGCTATCTATGTTGGATGAACGATTTTATACATGTTTTAAATGATGTAAACTGTATATGTATTTTATATCTACAAAATGTGTTGGGTAAAACATGGGTAGATGAATAGTTGCTGTGTGACAAAATAAAATAATGAGAGGCCTCGATATAGATGTTATTGATGATCCAGTCATCTAGCGGAGTATAGATGACGACCACAGACTATTCTAGACAGTCCAGTGGAACGCTAGCAGGCTCGCAACCTATAGGTGTTTATTTGAACTGTGTGCTCACCAGCAGTACTCCATCCCCCACATGGTTGCCTTATTTGAAATGAATTGCTGAGGAACCCCCGAAGCATGTGTTGTCACCCCGATGAAAGTCCTTAGACTAGGTCCCTTGTGTTAGATGTTTTAGGGACGTAAAGTGGGGATAACGGGAACAGGTAATCGGGTTTGTTTGGTTTGATAAAGTTAATAAACTTATTTATTGTGGGTTGAAAACCCTATGTACTCACCAGGTTTCACCAGGTTTCCCAACCTGGCCTACTCAGTTTATTTATATCACAGGTGTTGATGTGAAGTCACATTACACTGAGAGATTAAGGAGATATAAATCACTAGTGATAATGAATGTAAGTTCTGTTTATGCTTATGTTTCTGTATTGACGATGACATCCCAAATGTTTTAAAATGAATAAAAATACTTTTCTTCGGAAATGCTTTGATAACGTATTTATCATGTTTTACTGGGAACAAATTCCGCAACATTTTTATTAAAAGAGGTACTCTGATTTTTATAAAGCATAAACAAAATCGGTCTTTTCTGGCCGTGAAAATGGGGATGTCACATTGAGATAGTCCATGCACAAATACACCTGGTCTAGGATCAAGTCTTCTCCTCTTCAATGAAGGCGAGGAGGTCTGAGTTGTCAGAGGTTCACTTACTACTGGCTCAATGGTAGAAGTGACATTCTCAGAGGGAGGAATCTTTGAAGATGTCTCCATAGGAGTTGAGGTTTCAGCTAGTTGAGTTAGAGAGGAAGGCGTAGCTTCAAGAACGTCTTCTGACTCCCTTATCTCCGTTGCTGTATGAGCAACATCATGGATAGTGTCAAAGAAAGAGTCAAGATCCTCATTTGACAAAAGGTTTGCATGTACTCCAAGATTCAAAGGAATATCATCCTTGTCAAAGCCCGAAAGATCTAGATCTTCAAATGAATCATT